TAGGGTATAAGGGCTCCATCTCGTGGTAGAGTGTGGGGGACGGCCTCTGTAGGGATGTAATCATGATGGGTCGACCTTCGTTCTTTTCTCGTGGACCCCTGGGTCTTTCGGTCCTCACCACTGACAATCACCCCCATGACCTCACCATAATACATAACAACCATAGTAACTATCATAGCTATCATGCAAACAGCAAAGACCTTACCAACACTTTGTCGGGCGCCCTTCCTCGGACGTTCCCAAGCTCCAACACAATAACATGATACTTTGATCAACTCACGCGATGACCTTATTCCATCTAATCCTCAGCTCCTGCCTGGGTTGGGCAGACCACGCATCTGCCATCGTTCGTCAGTCCCAACGGTAATCGACACACTGCTGGCTACCTGCTCCAAACCGCAGCCGACTGCAAGCTCAGGTGTAATGGGGATGGGCCTCAACCAGCGCTCCCCTAGACGGAGCAGTGTGCCTGATCACGCTGCTGTATAGTGTACGAGGTGCCCTACAGTTAGCCCTGCAACTTAGCAGCGCAGAGTGCCCCTCCCCTGGTAGGAAGCAAACTCGTAGGATGTCACAGATGCCAGAGGGGTTTCATTTAGAATGTTCCCGATGGTTTTCTCTGTTAGTCTTCATTCTTGACCCGCAATATGAGCATCATATACATTGTCCTGCCATCTTCTCCCGTGCGTCTAGGTGCGAAATGTGTTCAGTGAACGTCGTACTAGCTTCTACCCGCACCAAGTTACCAATAAACTACGGATGGAGTGGAGCAGAAGTGGATTAAGGTCAGCATAGGTTGACCCATCAAATGGAGGAGACACACCCGAAATGGGCGGGGCGTACTCGAGATGGGCGGTGCTTCCCACAAATGTCGGTAACTCGGTCCCCGAGAGAGTTTAGAGATCGCAAAAAGTCCATGGCGAAGACAAACATCTGGCGAGAGTCCATCATACCTGCGCAGTGCGTGACTCCCCCCTGTGTGGGAAAGGTATGGCCTCAAACGTAACGTATTAATTGAAAAGGTAATTCGGAGCACTACAGACAACGAGAAAAAGTGGATTATGGTCCCAAGTGGTCCACGTTGAGAAGTGCAAGATACACCGTTGTAGGCGGAGCGTGCGCCGAGGTGGGCGGAGCCTGATTTAAAATTCCG